ATAATCGAACCAAACCTCAGGGGATGTTAGTGTGATTTACCCATATATTATATATGGTATTATTATCTCTCTAAACTACTTAGAAGTACAAAGATTTCCCTTTAAAGAAAGGGCAAATTACACTAATGGCCCATGCAGTTTAGGATTTGTGTCATCTTGTCATATGACTTTTAATTGTGATACATTTGACTTTAAATTTTAAATCTCGTTCTAAATATAAATAATTGAAGACACTATTACTCTATTTTAAGAATAAAGTCGTCAATTTTAAGTACAATTTCATTTTCTCTTTAGTTTGAGTCTTAGGCCAAGTTTGGGGACTTTAAAAAAAGCTAAAAAGTCAAAAAGTTATTCAAAAAGTTAAAAAGTTAACACTGTTCACCAAAAGTCAACAATTACGGCTGCACAACTTCCAATTCAAATTTTTCCCTAATTCAAATTTTTCCCTACAAATCAATTTTTACAATTTTTTATTACACATTTTTCAATAAAAAGTCAAAAAGTTAACCCAAACATCCATATTTTCAACCTCAATTTTTTAGTTCAAAAAGTACATTTTTTTAGTCTTCCCAAACTTAGCCTTACTATTGCAAGTACAGCTTCATTTTCCTTTTTCTTCCTTCTACTGATTTTAAAAATTTTCCTTCAATTTATATTTAAAAGAAAAAAAAAATTGAAAGAAAAGAGAGAAAATTTTCAATGTCGTAAGTCTTAAGTTTTTGATGAGGTTGATTGATGTTTATGGATGTGATAGTCATGAGAATTATTTTTCCATGCACCTTCCGAGTTGGATGTGATAGTCTTGAATGAAATTATCTTCTTTTTTATTTTATTTTATTTTTATTTCATTTTTTTAAGTGAATAAGCCATAAAATAAAAAGTAAAAATGTACAGGATTGCAAGGAGAAAACCCCAGCCCTACCAAGAACTATACGGAAAAACCATCAGAACACCTATAACAAACTAAACCCACAAGACAGGCCTAAGTGTAATTAGATAAATTCCGAGATGTGGATAAAAAGAAGGATCCTGTTCATAAGCCCTGTGAACAGGACCAAACATGGTCTTAAATAGCCACACCCTGTACAAAAATAGAGGCAGACTATAGCATAGACGACCGATACACAAACTACCACATGAAATTATCTCATGAAATCATAGCACTTGAAATTATATCACAAGGACCAAAATCGATATATAGAGAACATGAAATTATCATTGTTTTGATCATTCCATATATTTTTTCCGTTGTACATTTTTGTATTATGTTTCTGTGTAAATCATTTTACTCTTTGTTTATATTGCTATGAGAATGACTGTGCACGGCTTTGATCCATGACTGATAATTTATCTATTTCTTTCTTAAGCAAATAAAACAAAAAATAAAAAAATGTACACACAAAAACTTGTAGGCAGTGGCTTAGTACTAATTCCTTCGGTCATTTTTGAGATTTTGAAGACGTTGTTCGATTTTTTTTCTGTTTTCTTTTTTTGGAATAAAGAATTTCTTCTTTTTTTTGATCTTTTTTTCATTTCAATTGTTCACTATTTAAGAATTTTCCTTCAATTTATTTTAAAAAAAAGGAAAAGAAAGGAGAAAGAAATTATGCAATGTGGGGTTGGTATGTCCTAACTCTAACTCTAATTTATTGAAGAGGTATTGATGCCAAGCACCTTTCAACTTGGTCGTGCTTATCTTAAAGGACATCGTCATCCTCTTGATTAAAAATATCTTTCAGTTTTGTTATATATTTAGAAAAAATTATCAAAACTTTTATTTAAAATTGAAATTCGTAAATAAAATTATTTTTTTATCCTATTCTATAATACACTAATTTTAAACATACACTCTACTTGCTTAATAAAATTCTGATTTAATTTTTTTTATTGGCAAAAATCAGTTGTTAATTGTTAAATTAGTATTTATGAGCCTCTACACCCACAACCTTCCCCTTAGGACTAAACCCTTAAGAGAAAAATTCTGATTAAATTTTGTAACTAAAATTCTTTAAAAATAATCTTTTGATTTGGAACTTCCATATTCTATTTCCCTTTAAAAAAAGGGTGAACTACACTAACGGTCAGCGGTGGAGGGAAGTGAGGACCAAGGGAGTCACGTGCTCCTCCTGGATTTTGGGTTTTTTTTTTTTTTTGTGCAAATATAAAGAAAATATTTTAAATAAAAAAAATTATAAAAATATTATTAGAGTGAAATGTCAATGACATTTTAAAAATTATGAGAACAATAATTGTTATTTTGATTGAAAATGAAGAGACTATTATAAACTATATTCTATGAAAATTTTATAAAAATTTTGAACGTAATGGTAATGTCATTATTATTGACATGTAAGTATAAGTAATCTCACTATAATGATATGAAATTTATTAGATTGCTAGTTACATTTGACATATGAGGTTCACTCTCTATGTGTTTATTTACTATTAGTTGGTGATATCACATACTAATGATGACGTAGTATTACCATTATATTAAATTTTTAATCAAATTTTGTATAAAAAAATAATTTATCATTATATAATTTATTTTAAGACCTATATCTATATTTTTTTATATTGTCCATGATACACTAGTTATAAATAATATTATTTTTTTTTATATTTCTCGAAATCAATCGTAAAAACTTGCGCGAAATATATTTGTAAAAATTTTCGATATTGTAATTAATAAGTGCCCCCTCTAATTTGATTTTCCGGCTCTGCCACTTCTAACAGTCTCTGTAGTTTGGAACTTCTGTGTATCTGACCTTTTAATTGTAATACATTTGACATTAAATTTTGAATCTCATTCCAAATAAAGACAATTTTTTTTTTTGATCAGGAAAGAAAAATTTCAATTAACAGCATGAAATTAAAGGTACAAGTAGATGACATGCATCGAGAGAGATTCAGAAAGTATAAAAATATCCCTACTACTGCTACTTGCAATCATACAACCAAATAAAGACAATTGAAGACACTGTTACTCCATTTCAAAAGCAAAGTCATCAATTTGATAAAATATAAACTAGTTTGACAAAAATAAATGCCAAAAAATTATTTTTGAATTTTTAAAAATTATTTATACCCACCAAAGATAAAATTATATAAAAATGATAAACTTTTTACATTTTTACACTTTTATTTTTTTTGCCAAATTAATTTTTATAATGTGTTTGGATAATGATTAATTATGAAATGGGTGGTTGTTTTTGTTGATATTTTTAAATGATTATCATGTTATAGATGGTTGTATTTATTGTTGATAGATATTTTTGGATAGTTATCATGTAATGGATGATTATTAGACTTTTAATGTATAATCGATATGTTTAATATATGAAACATTTTTAGTTTTAAATTTTTTTATTTAATGGATTGGTTTAATAATGATATCAAAGTTGTTACCACGTTTGACTTTTGAAAAAATAGAAATTAATTTAACGAAAATAATATAAAAAATTATTTCTACCCTCCCAAAAGATAAAATTATATAAAAATTATGTGTTTTCAAAAAAAAATTTCCGCCAATTTAATTTTTAGTTTTTTAGAAATTTTTTTTTCTGAAAATAGATTTTGAAAATCAAACCAAATAGAACTTTATAACTAAGAAAGTTTCAACATTATTCATTAAAAAAAGATCATTATGTTTTAAATAACATACAAGTTAATTAACACAAAATAAGTTTGGTGACAAATTTTCCCTTAAAATAGACCATTTGCAAAGAAATCATCGTTGATTGTTCTTATTTGAAACAAGTTTCAAAATTCAGGATTAAATGTATCACAATTGAAAAATCAGTGACCAAAGTGACACAAGTTCTAAACTATAGGAACTGTTAGTATAATTCGCTTTTAAAAAAAAAATAGTCTATTTTTTAAAACATAATTATCGATCAATTTGTCGAAGACAAATACAATAAAATGAAAAAGTAATAATTATTTGATTGATCTAATTTTTTTTATATAAATAATATATACTAAGAGCTTTATAAAATGAACAATTAAAATTATCAAAACGGGACTCATGATATGAACCCCACAAGCCTTTCAAGTTTTTAAAAATTTAGATTTAAAGAAGCACAATATAAATATGTAAGAAGAACAAAAAATTAGCATATTGAAGTGAATACCCTCGTTTAACATTGTATATGGTTGAGGGATTGAGAAAATGATTTGAAAAAAAGAAAAGAAAAGATAAATAAAATATTAATAAAATATATTTACATTTCATATAATTTCACACACTTTTTTTTCTTTCCTTTTCAAATCAAACACAGTAAGTGGCGCCACCCCTGCATGTAATTCTATTAGAGCATCTCCAATGCACTAGGCATATAATACTTGTTAGTTAAAATGTCTAGTGTTATTCACTTTTTTCAATTCCAATGCACTAGGCATATGATTAGGTATTTTGGCTCAACTCATATTCACTACCTACATGTAGCTAGCCTTCAACGCTAGGCAAAATGTATTCAATCATTAGGATCATTTCCCTCCATTTTTGTTGTTGACGTGACATTTTATAAAATTAATAGTATTTGGATAAATAGCTAAAATAAAGAGCATGGTTGGAGTAAAAACATAAAATAGTTGATAGGTAAAATAAAATATATACTTTATAGTAATATTTAGATAGGTAAAATGCCTACTACTGTTGGAGATGCTCAGTGTTTGAACTTTCATTGATTGGTGATACAATGACGTCATATTCCCGTCATACTTGATATTTACTTGGGTAGGACTTACCATAGTTAAAAGATGGTCTAGACTGGACTTTGATCGTCTCCCTTTATAAAGCAACCCTACATTACGATTTAATAAACCATCCTGAGTGATCCTATTTTCTCATAAATACCACCATTATTCATTGTGCAAGCTGCTCATAACTCCATAGTAGTATTTAGAACCACTGAAATTCTCAACATGAGGAAATTCTCCACTATTGGGCTCCTTTTAGTTGTGCTGCTTTGTTTTGAAACTAAGCCCTGTTTATGCAGTGCTTCAACCAACAGTTGTGTAGAAGATGAGAGACTAGCTCTTCTGAAGTTCAAACTTAGTCTCACAGACGCTTCGCTTCAATTGTCATCTTGGCATGGCCAAGATTGTTGCAACTGGAAAGGAGTACAATGTGATGGAATTACTGGCCATGTTGTCAAGCTTGATCTCCATGTTGACACTTATAACATGATGATCAACTCCTCTGCCCAGTTAGCGACTAATAAAGTAGACTCTTGTTTGCTTGAATTGAAATATCTGAATCACTTCGACTTAAGTGGAAACAAATTTCAAGGTAGCCGAATCCCCGAGTTCTTTGGAGCGATGACAAAGTTGAGGTATCTCAATTTGTCTGATACAGGGTTCAGTGGAATAGTTCCCCATCATCTCGGAAATCTTTCTAGCTTGCGTGTTCTTGATCTTAAGTATAGCTTCGACAATGATCACGCATTAATTATAGATGATCTCACATGGGTGTCTCGTCTTTCAGCATTGCAATACCTTGACATGAGTAGAGTGAATCTTAGTGAAGCGCACAATTTGCACAAGGTACTAAACATGCTTCCTTCTTTACAAGAGTTGCGTTTGTCATATTGTGGACTTGATAATAGTCATTTATCTCATATGTATGTGAACTCTACAGTTTCTAATGTTCAGTACCTAGATCTTGGTCATAATTCATTTCAAGGTGAATTTCCGAGTCTCCTTAGTAACATGACTTCTTTAAGAGTCCTTGATCTTTCTTTCAATTATTTTAATTCTTCTAGTCGTCTCTATCTCGAAAACCTTAAGAGCCTTGAACATCTCAATCTTGGCTCCAATGAATTTAACCACATTGGTGGGTTTCTGAGGCTCTTGTCGAATCACTGTAGCTTGAAATCATTTGATATGAGTCAAAACCAAATCAATGGAAAGGAGATGTCCATACTTGACAAAAATTTATCTAGATGCACCACGTATGATTTAGAGACATTGATTTTAAGTGCTGATAGATTCACTGGTCATTTACCGAATTGGCTGGGACAACTTAGGCATCTGAAAGACCTTGATCTTTCAGGTAACTCATTTAATGGTTCGATTCCAGCATGTTTGGGAAGATTGTCATACTTGCAGAATTTACTCCTTGGTGGTAATCTGTTGACTGGGGTCATCCCACCATCACTAGGGAACTTGTCAACCTTGAGAGTATTAGATCTTTCTTCCAATCAGTTAAATGGGACCATTCCTATTTCTATTGGACGACTATCAAACCTCAAGACCTTAGATGTCTCTTTTAATTCCCTAGAAGGTGTAGTCTCTGAAGCTCATTTTGCCAACCTCTCAATGTTAGAAGAATTGACGATAAGTTCTAACCTCTTGACATTGAAGTTGAGATCTGAATGGATACCTCCTTTTCAATTGAAAATCATTTCACTCTGGTCTTGCAAATTGGGGACTCAATTTCCTCAATGGCTTCAAACACAAAAGAAAGTTGTTGATCTGGATCTTTATAATACGAGCATATCAGGAACCCTACCTGAATGGCTTCATGACATGCATCTCTCGATATTGGATCTCTCTAAAAACCATATCTGTGGACCAATTCGAAACCTTCCTTCCACTTCATACATAGTTGATCTCTCCAATAACTTAATTTCAGGACCTCTTCCTCAAAATATTGGAGATATGGTGCCTACTTTGTCATCTTTGTATATGGTTGGTAATTTGATAAATGGTTCTATTCCAAAGTCATTCTGCAAAATTCTAAATTTGGGATATCTCGATCTTTCTAAAAATATGTTATCTGGAAATCTTCCTCATTGTTTGGGGGAACTCTCGAACCTATACATTTTGAAAATTTCATCCAACAAGCTTTCAGGGGTTATTCCAAACTCTATTGGACATTTGACTACTCTCAGAGGGTTATATTTGAACAACAATAGTCTTTATGGAGAGGTTCCTTCCGCTTTGAGACTTTGCAGAAGTTTAGCATATTTGAATCTTGGTGAGAACGGATTCACTGGAAACATACCTAGATGGATTGGAGAACTTAAAGACTTGGCCATTTTGAGATTGCATAAGAATAGGTTCAATGGCAGTATTCCTTCGCAGTTATGCCAACTGCCTCAACTCCAAATCATGGACCTTGCAGATAATGATTTAAAAGGGACCATCCCTCGTTGTTTTGGCAATCTCAATGGCATGATTTTGAATGAATATGGTACACAATATAATTTAGGAGGATGGTTGTATGAGAACGTAAGGCAAGTCATGAAAGGAAATGAACTTGAATACACCAGTGCACTATTGTATGTCGTCAACATGGACCTTTCAAAGAATAATTTGATTGGAATGATCCCTGAAGAACTAATGCTTCTTTCTGGTTTGCTTGGGCTTAATTTTTCACATAACAATCTGACAGGAAGCATCCCTAAGAATATCAGTGGCTTAAAGTCGTTGGAATCTCTTGATTTCTCTAACAACCAACTTTCAGGCACAATTCCGGAGAGCATGTCTGCTTTGAATTTTTTGAGCCACTTGAACCTGTCATACAACAACTTCTCCGGACATATTCCAACTGGAAAACAACTCCAAACTCTTGTTGATCCTTCTATTTACATTGGCAACGATGAACTCTGTGGAGCTCCGCTTCCAAAGAAATGCCCTGGTGATGAACATTCGCATTCTCCGACAAGTTTAATCCCAACTCATGTAGAAAAACATAAAGGAGATGAAGCTGAAAAGGTATGGTTTTACCTGGTTGTAATGAGTGGTTATGCCACAGGGCTATGGGGAGTTATTGGAGTTTTGTTGTTGAAGAAGAGCTGGAGACATGCTTATTTTCAGTTTCTGGAAATGACCAAAGACAAGGTACTTGTTGCGATAACAGCGAGAATGGCTCGATGGCACGGATGAATAACTAGATTTTCAAATAAAAACCAAATGGTTACCATGTATATATTTGGTATGTAGACCCTTGTATCTTTCTCTTCTCTATCTTTCTATGTTGTATGTGTTAAGTGGGGTGGTGGCTGTGCAGTTTTCATTTTAAGTATTGCTATTCAAGTTTAAAAGTTAGACTTACTTTTTAAATTAATGATGTGTTAAAAAAATAATTAGTTGATAATTAAATATTCATTAATTATTAACAAATCATTTTTTGAACACATCACTAAGTCTAAAAAGTGGGTTTTAAAAATAGATTTGCATACCATTTTTCTTTCAGTTTATACATGTGGATCTTGTTTTTGCTTTTCTTATATTTGTTTGGAGTTTTTTCTTTGTTGTTTTGAGAGTTTCTTTCCAATAATGATATATGCTATATTTGATCTTTATTGTAATTGTAATTCAGTAAATTCCATTATTACAAGAGACATGGTTTAAAAAAGAAAAGATAAAAAAAAATAGTGAACTATGTAGCCTTATATTTATTTTGTCGTTGGTCACTAACTACAAGAATTTTCACTTTTGGTGACTAAATTTTTAGTTGCCAAATGGTTTCAGCGACTAAATTATTTGGTCGCAGAAGTAGTCGTCGAAGAATTGTCGGTAAAGGTCATTAGCGACTAAAATAATTTTAGTCGCCAAATGTATTCAATTTCCGATTAAATTTTTAGTCGCCAAAAGGTTGGACATTAAATTAAATTAGTACATTTTCGGCAACCAAACTTTTTGTCGCCTAAAATCTCACACTTTTAGTTACTAAAATTTTAGTCGGCAAAGAGTTCTTGTTTTGGCTACTAAAAAATTAGTCGCCTAAAGTCTCACATTTTTTGCTACAAAAATTTTATTCGGCAAAGAGTTCTTGTTTTGGCTACTAAAAAATTGGTCACCTAAAGTCCCGCATTTTTTGCTACTAAATTTTTAGTCGGCAAAAGTGTTTTTATTCTTTAGCTTTTGTTTTTAGCTATGAAATATTTTAGTTGCCAAACGTTTGATTGTTTGATTTTCTTTTGGCTACAACACTTTTAGTCGCCAAATGTCTATTTTTTTTTGCTACAAAACTTTTAATTGCCAAATGTCTTATTTTTATTTTTATTTTTTGCTACAAAACTTTTAATTGCCAAATGTCTTAATTTTTTTTTTTTTTTGGTACAAAACTTTTAGTTGCCAAAGGTGTATTTTTTTTTTTTTTGCTACAAAACTTTTAGCTGACCAAAGTATTTTCCCAATTTCTTTTTAGCTTCTAATTGTTTAGTCACCAAAAACATGATATTATGTTTTATCGCAAAATTATAATTTCTGCACAACCTGTCTATATTCCATGCAACCTGTAATACGTATATAAACAAAATGATACATACTATATATCAATCATTCCACAATCTGCATCCATATACAAAAAATAAATAACTTTAAATGTCAAAGTCCATACAAAAAACTATTGTCCAAACTAAAATAACAATTCCATACAAAATATATCATATAAAAATCAAAACCCTCCGTATACAAAAAATACATTTACTGCCAAGCGAAATTACCATTTGGCATGGTACTAATTACCATTCTAATCTGTACCATGACAAAAGGTGATATATGTACCACGACAAAAGTTTTTCTATAGACCATGACAAAAAGTCATATATGTACGCCGACAAATGGTCATATATATGTACCACGACAGAAGGTGATCTATGTACCACAACAAAAGTTTTTCTATAAACCATGACAAAAGGTTGTATATGTACGTTGACAAATGGTCATATATGTACTACGACAGAAGGTGATCTATGTACCACGGCAGTCATTATCTGTTGATTGCCAAAAGTTTTCTGTAATAGTAATAGTGAACTAAACAAAAGCTGAGAACAACAAAAGTATTATATTAGTTCTATACAAAAGTAAAAATTCTTCTCCATACACCAATATGGATTATCCACAAGTCCACACAACAAAGCCGTCTACAAAAAAAAAAAAAAAAAAACAAACAAACAAAAAAACAAACAAACAAAACATTAGAATTGGTTACAAAATATCAATTCAGTCAGCCATAGGGAACATGTTGTAACATGCATTTAAGGTAGAACAATCGAGAAATGTTTTCTTGAAAATAAAAGAAAGTATATATATATATATGTATCATGCAATATTTATTCCAGCCAACTGCCCAAACAATCTAATATGTAATTTGTTCGTTCTATAAACATATAAAGGCAATTATTAGAATATGTAGATGTTATTTCCAAAAAATTGTCTCTCTTTAAACAAACTGTTCTGAGTTTTTCGATTATGTGTAAGGCGTTTTCGGCTCAAACTCCAAGTCTACGGGTCCTAATTATATTCGGTCAGTTCTCACAGGTCATAATTGTCATTGGAAAGCAGTCTGTGACAGCCACACAATGGTTCGGGGGCTGTTTTGAATTTTGGCCCCCGAAACGCTATTTTTCAAGTAGGTTTAAGGCGTATTCGGCTCTAACTCCCAACCTACGGGTCCTAATTACATTCCGCCAGTTGTCAGAGGTCGTAATTGTCATGGGAAAGCAGTCCGTGAGAGCCACATAGTGGTTCGGGGGGCTGTTTTGAATTTTTGCCCTTGGAAAGCTCTTTTTCGAGTAAGTTTAAGACGTATTCGGCTCTAACTCTATACGTACGGGTCCGAATTACATTCCGCCAGTTGTCACAAGTCGTATTTGTCGTGGGGGAATTGTCTGTGTAAGCCACACGGTGGTTCAGCGGCTGTTATGAATTTCCGCCCCCGGAACGCCCTTTTTTGAGTAAGTTTTGGGCTTATTTAGCTCTAACTCCCAACCTACAGGTCCGAATTACATTCCGTCAATTGTCGCAAGTCCTATTTGTCATAGAAAAACTGTCCGTGAGAGCCATACAGCGGTTTGGGGCTGTTATGAATTTTCGCACCCTGGAAAGCTCTTTCTCGACTAAGTTTAGGGCGTATTTGGCTCTAACTCTCTACCAATGCCGGCCCTGGGCATGGGCCAACAAGGCCATGCCCTAGGGCCCCTCAAAATAGACCCAAAAAAGGGGCCCCTTCTATTATGGTTTAGTGTAATATTGTCACGCCCCGAATTTTTATTACTAGAAAACATTACCAAAGCCTGTAAATTTAGGTCCATTTTTTTTTTAAAACATCCATTACCCTTGAGTAATAGAAATACAATGATACATGTTTTTTCTCTCTCAAAGAATACAACAATAACAACAACACATGCCAGTCTCCTACTGCGCTACAAATAAATAAATGCAATTACAAAATCCATTTCCTTTACATCTACTATGAAGTTATACATAGGAACTCAAGAACTCTATAAATCTTCAATCAAATAATCAAAACTTTCTTCCTGTAAAAAGGTAAAACAACAATGGGGTGAGCACTAATGCCTAGTAGGAATCTCATAGTTCTCAATCAATAACTAACACAAAGATAGAAATGATCATGCATGCAGGGTGATACTATATAGTAGAGTGACGTCTTATAATTTCAAAATATCATAAGTAGAGTACCTCATCTCAAAAACTATTTGAACACTTTTAAGAAAAACCTTCGGCCATTAAAATCATCCCTTAACTTTAGAAAATCATAGATCCTTGTGAAACAAACATATTTAAGAAACAACGTCATTTAAAAGTTATCAACCAATTCCCAAGATATTTTTTATTTAATTTTCCATTAAACTTATTTAATTTCCATTTTTAATACTCCTCTTTCCTTTTTATTCTTCCTTTCTACTCATTATATTTATTTAAAACTCCATAACTTCGAGTTCACGTTTCCTTTTTCATTCACTAACAATTCTCCTATACTCAATTCATATCGTTATTTACACTCTCAAATTTCATTTCAAGGTAACACAAGGTTAACAAACCCCTTTCAATTCAGTCTCTTATTTATTTTACAGAACAATACTCATAATTTACCTTTATTATCGCAACTAATTCATTTAGTTCACCATTACCAATCCGTAATCCAATTACCACTTCAATTTCCATTCTTTCAATTGATTTCATATCAAATACCAGATCCAATCACAAGTCATCTCCATGAGTCACACGCTTTACCAGTCATAAGCCGGAAGGAATGCGGAACCTCACGCTTTACCGGTCACAAGCCGGAAGGAACGCGGAACCTCAACATACCACACGCTTTACCGGGCGCTACGCCGGAAGGAAGCCGGAACCTATCTCAAGCACCATGCTTTGCAGGCTCAAATATGGCGGGAAACGGAGATAACATCACAATCCATCATTACAATTAGTGGACAATGCCAACACATTTTCCATTGTTTCTGTAACACACTAATTCAATATACATCCACCATATATTAAAATTACATTCACATAACAAGTACAAATATGTTCCACGACCTTCTTCATTATCCGTTAAATCATTCATTGTTTTGTTACACAAAAATATAACAACACCTCCATAGAGGCAAAGATTCATCTTTAAAGTATTCACAGTTCTTGGGTTCAAACTATTTCTTTACTTTTCCGTATTATTATCAAGTCTTCAAATTCAATTTTTAAAACACATTGGTTGTCAATTACTACCCATGGTTATAAATTAAATCTCCAACATTTAATTTTCTTTGATACAACACCTTCATATAACATCGTCATATTTCACAACCTCCCATTTATCATTATTCACACTCATCTTAACCCAAAATAGACTTAATTTCATAACTTTAATGTTGAGTGAAGTATCCTCATTTTCCAAGATGAAACCCCATAACTATTGTTAAATATAAAGTTGGACTTTTAGTTTTGAGGTATAAAATCACTTTCTAATTACACAATAAAATTCTTAAATCTTCACTTCATCATCTTATCACAAATTCCGTATCATCTTTCAACTTTCCCCCCGCGGTTACCAACACAACACCACCCAACACAATTCAAACACAACACCACCCAACACAACTCAACTCAACGCAATTCAACATGATTCGAACACAATT